TTTCCAGAAGAAAACAGTTTGTCACTACCTGGAACAAGATGGTGACTAGAACTCAGATCCAAGGTATAGAAGCAGTGGCACTGGGAACGTGAATTACAGACCACATAAGAACATAACTCAGTACAAACCGAAGTTAGGTACTGGATAATCAGTTTTGGAACGAAGGCTCGTAACAAACTTAGAATTAGCTCAAGTGAATTGAAGGGGAACAGTTTCTTCAGACAATTATTAAGAGCCAGGTCTTCAGTGATAGAGACTGTCTTTACCTCTAAAGTACTGTCTTGGGTTGATGTAGTTGGGTAATTTTAGTTCATGTTTACTAATAAAATCCTGCTGGATTGCATAAACACCAGAAGGCAGTGCATCCAGATCTCCATTTCTACAGACCCTTTGTTGATGAGACGACTGAACTATGTGGCTGTAATAGCTATTCCTTTGTATTCACCCTGCCATTCCATTAAACCACTACTCATGGAATTTTCTGAACAGCTATATTATGATTATTTTGTATGGAACAGTCATGGCTTCTCTGCTGGGGATAGTTCTTTCTGTGCCATTAGATGTTGCGTTCCATTTATTTGCTAATCCCATAACGCATCTGGACATACTCGGAGGCTTTTATCTTTCATCATAAGGAACCCTGCAGTCATTGAAAGGGACGTTTGAAGGTCTCCCCACCTTGAAGCAGGACTGTTGTCAGTGCTGCATTAAGTCATCCATGACCTGACTAGCTGAGTTCTGAAAAGAAGAAATAAATAATGGAGATTCAACAGCTTCTTTATGCAATCTGTTCTTATGCTATGTGTTTCTGCTGAAAGTATACCTTTTAAAGTCCAGCCAGAACCTCCTAAGCTTCAGATTGTAGCTGTTCTCCTGCATTATTGTCATTTGGTATAACTGAGAAGATTTTGCAACACAGGCATTTGTAAAGGAAAGTTTACTATCTGTAGAAATTAGTAGGCAGCTATGTAATGCTGAAGTCCCTTTTTGCTGTTTTAATATCTAAGGAATAACATTTGTGTAACATCTGGGCTTTGCAGAAATCTTACATATTCACATAGAAAACCAACTGAACCACAAAAATTTAAAAGATAAGAAGCTTTTTTTTTTTCTTTCCCAGTCTTTTTCAGCCCATATTTGTTCTGTGTCCTGAGTATTTTTGAGGAAAGAAAATTCTCATGGCTTAAATTTGTGTATGTTTCCACTAACAGGTTTGTTCTCAACTTCTAAACCCCAGGAAGAAAAACGATTAACTGGATACAGGGAAATAATTAATTCACATTTTTAAAAATTATGTTGCTATAATATTTGCATTAAAACTATTTGGATGCAAATGTGGAGGCTTCCAGAGACTATATCCAGAGGATACTATTATTATTAAAAACTAACTCTAGAATTTGAGGGGCAGAGGTTTGGTTATTTTTTTGTTCATTTTTGTAAGCAAGGAGAAAAGTTACTTGTACTTATTCTTCTCTGAATTGTTAATGAAGGCAGTAAAGTTTTGAATAAGCCTTCTGCTTGTTCCTGGCTATTCAATGCACGATACAGTTATCACTTCAAAGTTTACTCAGTGGTCAGCTGATAATTATCTGGCTTGTAAATGCTATTTTCTTCTATGTAAGCCAGGATCTCAGCCTTATTTAAAGATAAATGACTCTGAGAAAGTAGTAATTTCTTGTTTTTATTCTCTAGTAATTTTTCATATCTTTTTGATACAAACCTTTCACACATCCCATTCTTTGCTATATCAAATGCACGTACAGCATTTCTGTATCCTGATACTAGTGGCATTGTTATTTTTTACCATTTTGATTTTTATTTTGATGCAGTTCGCTAATATATAATATATAAATTCATCCTTTTAAAACTGTCTGTGAAATATTTTGCGTATCTTACAAGAAAGATGAATCTGTGCACATGATATTCTTTCGTATGTTAGCAATTAATTCTGTTGAGTGCTATCATTAGGAGGTGTTACCAAATGCCTTGGTAGGCTACAGTATACACAAGGGCTGTTTTCTGTTGCAGTGTTCAGTGGTGGGTTTTATGCTGCAGTGCATTACATGTGCAAATATGACAGGGCACAAATGAAGGACAATAAATACAGTTTGCTGTCTTGTCTGTGTGCTCAACACTAACCATTATCATAGAATGATTTCAGTTGGAAGGGAGCTTAAAGATCATCTACTTCCAACCCCTCTGCCATGGGCAGGGACACCTCCCACTAGAGCAGGTTGCTCAAAGCCCCATCCAGCCTGGCCTTGAACATTTCCAGGGATGGAGCATCCACAGCTTCTCTGGGCAACCTGTTCCAGTGTCTCACCACCCTCACAGTAAAAAATTTCTTCCTGACATATAATCTAAATCTACCCTCTTTCAGTCTACACCATTACCCCTTGCCCTGTCGCTACATTCCCTGATAAAGGGTTCCTCCACACCTCTCCTGTAGACCCCCTTTAGGCACTGGAAGGCTGCTATAAGGTTTTCCCAGAGCCCTCTCTTCTCCAGACTGAACAACCCAACCCCAGCTCTCTCAGCCTGTCTTCCTAGGAGAGGTGCTCCAGCCCTCTGATCATCTTTGTGGCCCTCCTCTGGACCTGTTCCAAAAGGTCCATGTCCTTCTTGGGGACTCCAAAGCTGGATGTAGTACTCCCAGTGGGGTCTCATGAGAGTGGAGTCGAGGGACAGAATCACCTCGCTTGACCTGCTGGCCATGCTTCTTTTGAAGCAGCCCAGGATGCAGATGGCTTTCTGGGCTACCAGCACTCATTGCTGGCTCATGTTGAGCTTCTCATCCACCAACACCTTCAAGCCTTTCTCCTCAGGGCTGCTCTCAGTCTGCTCTCTGCTCAACCTGTATTTGTGCATGGGATTGCCATGATCCAGGTGCAGGAGCTTGCACTTGGCCTTGTTGAACTTCATGAGGTTTGTGCGGGCCCACTTCTCAAGCCTCTCCAAGTCCCCCTGGATGGCATCCCTTCCCTCCAGTGTGTTGATTGCACCACACAGTTTGTTGTCATTGGGAAACTTGCTGAGGGCACACTCAATCCCACTGTCCACACTGCTAACAAAGATGTTAAACAGCACTGGTCCCAGTACTGACCCCTGAGGAATACCACTTGTCACTGGTCTCCACTTGGATGTTGAGTTGGGCTTTCTGGGCTACCAGCACTCATTGCTGGCTCATGTTGAGCTTCTCATCCACCAACACCTTCAAGCCTTTCTCCTCAGGGCTGCTCTCAGTCTGCTCTCTGCTCAACCTGTATTTGTGCATGGGATTGCCATGATCCACGTGCAGGAGCTTGCACTTGGCCTTGTTGAACTTCATGAGGTTTGTGCGGGCCCACTTCTCAAGCCTCTCCAAGTCCCCCTGGATGGCATCCCTTCCCTCCAGTGTGTTGATTGCACCACACAGTTTGTTGTCATTGGGAAACTTGCTGAGGGCACACTCAATCCCACTGTCCACACTGCTAACAAAGATGTTAAACAGCACTGGTCCCAGTACTGACCCCTGAGGAATACCACTTGTCACTGGTCTCCACTTGGATGTTGAGTTGTTGACCACAACCCTTTGAGTGTGGCTGTCCAGCCAGTTTCCTTATCCACCGAGTGAATAATGTGGCATAATTTCCTACTTGAAATCTTTGCTTTTGTAATTTTAATGGAAGAATGAAGGAATAGCTACTCATTTTGCTATGTAGTATGTAAACTATTATCCATAAAAAATAGATACTTGGCCTTCAAACAAGCATTCATCTTGACTGATCTTTGTACATTGGAGAGATCTGCTGAAATGTGTAGAAAGGAATTATTCCAAAGTCCACAGAAAAATCATTATTGTAGGCTGCTGAAAAGCAATCGTGTCAAGCTCTCTTTTCCTGCCCTACGTATGCTGGACCATGTGAAGCTGTGAAGGATATGAGCTCTATCAAAAGTGAAATAAATACATGAAATAAATAAGTTCCCAAGTCTTGCTGCTTTTTCTTGCAGAACTATGATGTCGTCACAGTCTTCCATCCTCTCTGACAAGTCAAGAAATAAAATCCTCTTTTACATAAAATGCACCGAATTGTAGAGTGGCAGAAGTACTAGAGTATACCACATCTCTTTTTATAGATGTTACATATATATGCATTGTTCAGTATTTTATGTAATAAACTACAGAAAAAGGTTTTGGGAAGAAAAGGAGTATCTAAGAGTATTAAAGGATGTGTTCTGCAACATTATTGCCATCATGGCTGTGTTGTGTGTGTGTATATATGTATATATATATATATATATATATACATGCTAATGGTCATTTCCCATTATCTTTTATCCTCGTTCAGCCTTTCCAGATTTATTAAAACATGACTTCTTCATGGAAGACTGTAAGATTACATATATCAGTTTGGAAAACTAAACCATTTTTAATTTTACATTTGAATCAAAATCTTAAAGCTCTTAAGTGGGAAAACTGATCTCTGCTGCATAGCCTGTTGCTTCATAAATAATTGATTTGCAAAACTTTTTAAAAAACATCTAGAACTTTGAATAAAGTGCAAAAATATAGTGCAAAATTCTGTGGTTTTTGTCCCTGAAAATTGTAGTAAATTGTTCTTACAAATAATAATATAAATTACATCACTTATGTTAAAAGAGATTATGGTAGGATTTTCTGTAGAAATTTTATGTCTAACTATTGAAAGTGTACATACATGGTTGGTTTCCCTGACCTGAATGTACTACTACGTGATGTGTTTGCAGGATTTTGCTTCAGTTTTAAGTTTGACCTGTAAAAAGTGAACATCCTTACAGAATTGCTTTTGTAATTGGGACGTTACCTTTTTGTAGTATAAAAAAAATGGGAATATTGATGTCTTACATAGGTAGATGTAACTGTGAAATTTACTAATCTTGTCTTCCCATTATTTTCCTCATATGCTGTTTTACTGTACCAGGATTACTGGTACAATATAACAGGGTGTGCAATGATAAATAAATGGTATTTATGTTTGCAGGGAAGATGGTACCACCGGAAGCAAGCAGTGAAGGAACTGCATGGTACATTGATACGACTGCTTAATGAACTGTTACCATGGGAACCAAAGCTAATGAAAGCATTTCAAAGAAACAGGTAATCAGCTGCTCTTTTTTTAACAGTAGTGCATGGGGCGGAAAACAACAAAATTCACCTTTTAAAAACTAATCAGTAAGTTGGCTTCTCAAATAGATTAAATGAAAATATGTTGAGGAGAGGAGTGAGGCACTGGCAGTGCTTTAGTTGGAAGAATTTTTTTGTGTTCCAGACTCTAAATAACATTGAGTTTAACCCTCCAATATTTATTTTCCTCTAAATGCTCTAGAATCCTTAAGTGTTCCTGTCGATAACTGTATCACAATCTACCTAGGATTTGTATTGGTGCTGAAAACCTGTATCTAGAAAACTAGACCAGGGCTTCTTAGAATTCTTTGTCATGCTACTTACTATCTAAAGCTATCTAAATCGGTTGTTAATGGATTCTCCACAAAGCACTTCTTAAAACATTATTTTGAGGTCTCTGTAACCCTGTAATTTTGAAATGCATCTGGAGTGAGGTGTGTCAGAGAAATACCAGTGAAGCAGTGAGTGACTGATTTGAATCTAGTACAGTCAATTGTTGGTATCAGTGATTGGAGAGATTGGAGACTGGAGAGATTGGACTGTAACTTGTGTTCGTTATTCTATATTGAAGCTTGCTACCCTTGTTGTCTGTTAGCCATACAGCTGTAGCTAGAATCATACCATACTTTTGCTACATAGACATTTAAAAAGCAGGTAATGATTAGAAGCTTATTTGAAACTCTGTGTCAAATGATAAGTAAAGTTAGGCAGATGCTTAAAGATTGAGTGTGAAGGAAGAAACTTACACAGTTACGTGGTGCAGAACTAATTCTAAAAAGTGTAAAAGATATTATGTTTAAAAAACAAACAAAAAACCCAAACAAATAAAAGCCAACACCATAGCACCAAAACAGTAAATAGATAAACTAAGAGTTGCTTCCTTAATAGCTCATTTTATGGATATCATGCATGAATTGAAATTCGTATTTAGAAATTTGGGATGTTGTTGAACATTTTTCTCTAAATAACGGACCAAAGTACAAGTTTTGCTTATTTCTGTTTCTTTCTATTCAAGTTTCTGTTCATTTTCCTTAGCTGTTCATTTTGTCCTGTGTGTAGCAATTCAGAGTCCTTTTGGAGATGTGGCAGACAGTAATACTATTAGAAAGGATTTCAGTTTCCAGTAAATGGGGTTTCCAGTTATATCCTTTGTGTAAATTCTGCTGTGAAATGGTTTGGTCCCTAGTGTTTTGGTGTTTGTTAAATGTGGTTATAGAATACATAAGTAGAACTGTCCTGTAAAATGTGTAGAAGTACTACATATGAGGTGTGCCTCACAGGAGTAATTTTTACTCTGGAATGCGGTGGCTGAGGTCTTGCATGTATGTGTGCTGGTAGCTAGAGGAGCCTGAGCTTAAAGTGGAGGATAATTTTTGAGATTAATTTCACTTATGTTTCTCAGAATGTATGTTTTAAGCTGTAAGCCTAGTGTGTTCAGCAATGCAACTGTCAGTATTTCCATGACGTAACTATTTGGACAGATGCATGGTATACCAGGGAACAGCTCCAGCTGAAAAACAGTCTGCAGATCATGGGGAGGAGAGGGAGATGGACAGGGGGAAGCTAGATCAATGTCTTGGTCTGGTTCATTGTGCAGCTGCTAAACAGCTGTGTAGCACCAATGACAGTGGTGATGAAAGGTGTAAGGTGAAAGGGAAAATGCGATCAAGTAAAGATTGCTTATGCTGGTGTAAACAGGAGCACCACCACAAGTTACCTGCAGTTGCAGTGCTTATAGTGCGTCTCAGCTAGTTTCTAACATCTACTAATTGAATGACAGTGTTGACCTTCTAGGTTGTCAAGGGCTGGGTAGAGCTCTTTCCTTCTGTGCAAGACCACAGTATGGAAGCTGTGGTCCCAGGTTCACCTCAGACCTGGCCTCAGCATCAGGAACTTGCCTGTTGATCTGGGCTCTTGGTTCAACGGAGTTACCACCCACAGGCCTACTCCATTCCCTCATTCAGAGGCAGTGCCATGGCATCCTTGCTGGTGAGGGTCATGCCCTGGCAGCCGTGACATCATGCGTGGTTCCTCCTTCTCCACCCTTAGGGAGCAGCTAGCCACTGCTGTGCTCTGCCAACAACTGTTATTTTAACTCAGAAGAATGGGTAAATTTAAGATCTTAATCTTATTGTCATAAGGGTTACATCCAAGCTAAAGTCTAGATTCTATTCCACGCAAGGTGCTAATTGCTATAAGCTATTTATTTGTTTGCTAACTAATGCTCCTGACTATTGTGTTGGTTTGCCACCAGCTGAATCCTGTAGTTTACCGTATTTGTATACTAAAATACCTCCTAGATCTCATCTAAACAATGGTTTAGAAGAAGGGACAATGGACATATGGAGCAGTTTAGGAGTATCAAGATAAGCGGATGCATTTCTGAATGGAGTAAAGTAGCTATATATTTCCATCATATGCAGATTTTTTAGCGGAGTGTGAGCCTTGTGGAAATGACAGTGGCAGCTGTTCTAATGGCTCAGAGATAAGAAAGTTTTCGTAAAGGAGGAAGTTACATTACAGTCCTATAGCTGGGCCAAAAGCGTGGTGCATTTAAGAAAAACAAGATTTACTTAATTCTCTAATTGGGGTTGCCTTCAGAGGAAAGAGTAGACTTGGTACAGGTACTAAAGTACTTGCTACTCGAGTCCATACAGGTACATTTGCCACCCTGCAAGATGAAGGAAGAAACAGAGGATAGATGCAAAAAACCAATAATGTTCATATTTGCCTCAGTCTTTTTGCCTATTGTTAGAGAGCTTAATGACATAGAATTTAGTTTTGGTAAGAGAAGGGACGTTACTGTCACTTTATATTTTCTGGGTTTTAAAGACTTTACAGGCAGAGCTACTCTGAAATTCTTTGAAGAGCACACCAACTTCTTGTGTGGCAGCAAATACAAATTAAAAAAAAAAAAAGTCAAAACCAGCATGGTTCTTTAGTAAAGTTAGTTTTGTTATTTTCAAGGTCTAGATTGAAGAAGGACTATGATGACTTTAAAAGACATCCAGACCATGATAAATTTACCAGAGAATTGTGGAGTAATGATGAAAGTGAAGTTGATTCTGGCAAAGATTCTTTTGCAGTAGTATGTGGTAAATCTTCAGAGTCTGCAGAACATGTGGAAGTTCCCAAAAAAGATCACCTAGACACTGGTAAGCACTTACTGGTATTTGGTAGCTTGAACTTGATTCAGGAGCTGAATCAAGTTGATTCAGGAGCTTTATTTTTCCTTGTGTCCTACTTTCTACTTTAGCTACTACTGTGATAATATTGAAATAGCTTGTGATGCATGTAGACTAGAAGTGTGCAGACCTGACCAAGGTGTAAATTCTGATTACTGCAAGTGTTTGACATTTTTGCATTTAACCATTTCTGTGATAACATACTAGGTCTGCTTGGAATTTATGTTTATGGTGGGTTGATGTTGGCTGGCTGCCAGACACCCACCCAGCCACTCTGCCACTCCCCGCACATAAGAGAACAAGGAGGGAAAATAAGATAAGCTTATGGGTCTAGATACAAACAGGAATATCACTCACTAATTACTGTCACAGACAAAACAGACTCAGTTGGAGAAAATGAATTTGATTTATTGCCAATGAAAAATAGAGTACGATGGTAAAAAACAAAGTCAAAATATAAAATACCTCCCTTCCCCCATCCCCATCCCATCTCCACCTTCTTCTCAGGTGTAACTTTGTTCCCAGTTCTTCTACTTCCTTCCCTGTCAAGTGGAGGAAGTGCCTGGAGCACTTTCCCCCTCCTTCACTGACCTTGGTGTCTACAGGATTGTTTCTCCTACATTTTTTCCTCACTCCTGTCTGTCACATTCTTCTGTGCAGTATTTTCCATGAAGTGTGACCACCTTAGCAGACAGGCTCAGGCACATCCTCCAGTGGGTATGTTTTGGAGCCAGCTGGGTCTTGCACGGGGCGTCTCCGGGCCTCTCCTCACAGACACCCTGCTGCAGCCCTGCATTGCCAAAACCTCAATGTCCTGTCCACACAGTATCCCTGCCTGCATCCTGAGCCCTCTTATCATAGAATCATAGAATCGTAGAATGGTCCAGGCCAGAAGGGACCTCCAAAGGTCATCTAGTCCGACCTCCCTGCAGTCAGCAGGGACACCCCCAACTAGACCAGGTTGCCCAGGGCCTCGTCGAGCCTCTCCTTGAATATCTCCAGGGATGGGGCCTCAACCACCTCCCTGGGCAACCTGTTCCAGTGCTCCACCACCCTCACAGTGAAGAACCCTCTCCTAATCTCCAATCTAAATCTGTTCCCCTCCAGGTTGAAGCCATTGCCCCTCGTCCTGTCACTGCAGGCCTTTCTAAACAGGCTCTCCCCAGCCTTCCTGTAGGCCCCCTTCAGGTACTGGAAGGCTGCTATTAGGTCTCCCCGGAGCCTCCTCTTCTCCAGGCTGAACAACCCCAGCTCCCTCAGCCTGTCCTCGTAGCAGAGGTGCTCCATCCCCCTGATCATCCTTGTGGCCCTCCTCTGGACCCTCTCCATCAGGTCCATGTCCTTCTTGTATTGAGGGCTCCAGACCTGCACACAGTACTCCAGGTGAGGTCTCACCAGAGCAGAGTAAAGTGGCAGAATCACCTCTCTGGACCTGCTGGCAACGCATCTTTTGATGCAGCCCAGGATGTGATTGGCCTTCTGGGCTGCAGCTGCACACTGCCTGCTCATGTCCAGCTTCTCATCCCCCAGCACCCCCAAGTCCCTTTCCTCAGGGCTGCAACTCCTCCACTTCATGCATCTACTGCTGGCTGGCTGGTCCAGCTCAATGCTCAGTATGAAACATGTGGCACTCACACCCTTGTCCCCCAGGCACCCCGCATTCATACGTCTGCCAGGTGCACCAGCCCAGACCCCAGGCTTCCCTGTCCACCAGCCAGTCCAGCTTGAGGTTTGCCAGTGAATATACACACACTGCCCCACCGCACACTGGGTTCAGGAAAGATACAGACACTCACCCTGCAGCAGTCAACAGCAGCCACACAGGCTGTGACCTCCTGCTCTGTCCTTTCAGCTCCCTCTTCCTTTGCACATCTCTTCCTGGGTTTGTATAGCTCTACTAAGTCCCTCACCCCTCCCAGCCCAGCATCCAGGATCTCTTCTGTTTAAGATCGTATCAGTTGAAAAGTCCAGGTTGATCTTCCTGGAAGGGGCATCTGCAGTTTCTTGATAGACGATCAGTTGTGGTTGGTGAGGTTGTTTCTTGTCATTGTCTCTATGTTTGCTTTGTTTTGTTAGATCTGTGTGTCTCTATATTTTTCCTGGCTTCTTCCTTTTCCCCTCAATGTCCCAATTAATCAGGTCCTTGATGAGATAAGCTTGCTGGAGTAAACATTCTCACACTCTCACATGCCTTCATCAGTTAGTGTAAATGACCATGTTTGGTTTTCCTCACTATCTCCCTTGCTGGTCAGGTTCATGTCCCTGTATGTTTTTGTTTATGACTTCCTCCTTTCCTTATGACCCCCTTTTTGCATTGAAAAAGGTCCTTGACCAGATGGTCTTAACGAAGCAGACATTCTCCCTCCACATATCTTTGCACTTGAAAACTAGCATTTTGCCTTTAGCTAGACACTGTAAAATTGTTGTATAGAGGTATCAGTTGCAAACATGTAAAACACAGTTTCTGTTTTAATATCCTTGCAGATGAAATGAAACTATTAGAGATGAATTTACCTGCAGGAAAAAACAGAATTCTGAAAAAAGAATCAACATCTAAAGAAATACAGAAGACACTACCCAAATGTGTTAAACGACAGTCCAAGCAAAATAGTTGTCTGGATCAAAGCACTAACGAGATTTCACCAAGGAAGAAAGCTAAGCTGAGCACTAATGAGGCTGGGATCCAGGGTTCAGAAAGTAGCTTGCAGCCAGATGGTTGTTTAACTGAGGCGAAACAATTTGAAGGGTCGACTGTAGAATCGCTTTCCTTGACAGATCCTGCAACATCAGTATCAAATTTTCTGAAAGGGACCAAACCCATCCAGGCCTTGCTTGCCAAGAATACCGGGAACAAAGTGACCTTAACAAATCAACTGTCACCTCCCCCAGGCATAAATGTGTCTACTTCTGAAAAGCCAGTTATATCACCTTCGGAATCATCACTAATAAAACCAGCATTGCCCTGCCAGACCAGTTCAAAGACTCCTTTACAAATGGTATACAAAATGCCAAATGGCCACTGTGTACCAGTAGACCTTCACAACAGCTCTGTGAAAATTCAAATGCAACCTGTGATTGACCCTAAAACTGGAGAAAAAGTCATGCAACAAGTTCTAATTTTACCTAAGAATTTTCTTATTCAGCAGAAGGAAGGAAAAATGGTTTCCAAGGACATTCAGTCACTACAACAAAAATCACCTGAGATGCACTATATAACTTTACCAGAAATATCAAATGTCAGTGTTTCTTTAACACCTGTACTGGTAACAGGCCCTGCAAACGCCACTGCTCAGTCACCTAGTACAATTTTTAACAGCAATATTACCCACTTGTCACAAGTGACTGTCCCCATGAACACTACACAACCACTGCCTGTTGTAACTTCAGCAAGTAACTTATTATCATCAACAAATAAGGTAGGCCAAACTGAAACTGACAAAATCAAGACTATGGTTTCAACTGCCACATTTGCAGTGTCTTTGACTTCACCTACTCTTCCCACAGCTAGCCGGTCTTTGATATCAGCAACGGCATTAAGTGGGTCTATAAACACTGCTTCTGCCTGTCATAGTCTTGCGTCACAGCAGACAGCTGACTCCTTTGAAACTAGGCAAGAGCTGAAGACAGTGTGTATAAGAGAATCACAGTCTATTCTGGTCACAACACGAGGTGGAAACACAGGAATTGTTAAAGTGCGAACAAACCCAGACCAGATTTCACCTAGTGGTTTATCTTCTAGTTCAGTTTTCACTTATGCACCTCAAATTCAGGCCTTTCTTGTGCCAAAAACCACAGCATTATCATGCTCTACTCTTTCATCTGTAGCAACAGCCACCTCTGGTCTCCCACATATTGGACAATCGTCTCTTTCTGGGTTTGCTCCCTCAACAGCTTCTTCTGTTAACATTCCAGCTTTCCCAGCTGATTTTACCCAGGCAATGGAGAACAATATCAAATTCACGTTACAGCAGCCTGCTGCTGGGGGCACTTTTGGTCAAGTAATAGAGAACTCCTGCTACGTGTCGTCTCCTCCTTTATCCTCCATTTCACTGGCTAGCAATTTGATTTCAGCAACTCTAAACAGCCCTGTTAGTGGGACTAGCGTTGGACAAAATAACACTGTCATAACTCCAAATTCTTCTGTGCAGCAACAAGGTGATACTAAAACTAAAACAAATCCTGTTATGCAATCTGAGTCTAATGCAGCAATAAATGGAGATTTAATCGGTGGTACTCCAGTCCAGAAACTTACATTAGTCACAAATCCACCTATTTTGTCACCTTGTGGGGCATCAGGAGTCAGTATTATACCGTCTCCAGGATCCACTGCTGTTAATGCTCAGAAGTTGGTTTTCATTAACACACAAATTGCCAGTGGCCCATCAACTGCCAATCTAGTTGCAGAGTCATTGAAACATAACCTTCCTTCTTCCCTAAGCAAAACCTTTGTTAGTGCCACAGAGCAACCACAGCTGGTTCTGATCCCATCTACGGTAGGAGCACCAATAAGAGTAAATCCATCACCAACTATTGCTCAAGTAAAAGATGTGAAAATTGGACTAAATATAGGCCAAACCATTGTAAATACTAAAGGCAACGCACAACAGGCTCTACCAGTTAATATATTGCATTCGGCTGTTTCTAAGGGAGAAGACATAAAGAGCATGGGCTTGGCACTCTCTTTGACAACTACTAGTACTTTGGTTCCTGTACCAAATTTTACGAGTCAGAGTGCTGTGTCAGTTAATGAGTCTGTATGTGTTGCAACAAAAGCTGAAAATGCCTTTACAGTAACAACAGCAAATGCATGTGTAGAATCTGTTTCAGCAATACCAAGTGGGACTTCTTCTGGGACACGGCCGACTGTCTTGATTGGTGGAAATGATCCCTCAAGAGTAAGACCAATTCTGGGTAATCGACTGTGTACGTCAAGTATTGGAAATACTGTGGGTATATCAACTGTGAAAACAGGACATCTTGCTTCATCTGTGCTGATTTCAGCAACGCAACCAGCAGTTTCTCCTCAAAACTTACCATCTGCTTTGCAATTTCCGGTGATTAGCTTGCCTGGATCTGTAGCCACCCCCCACAAAGTGTTACATACAATTCCTCAACTGGCAGCAGTTCCAGCTTCTCCTCCAGTACCAAAAAGCCAGTTGCCCACACTGGTTCAGTATCAGTCATCAGGAGTTTCAGCTGCTATGCCAAATAATGCAGGTATTCACAAACCTCAGAGTGTGTTGCCCCCTTCGTCTCCAAATGCAGGTAAAGTTACTGGTTTTTCCAATGTTTCTTCCCTACAATGCCAGCAGGTGCCTCCCAGTACAGAGAAGCAAAGTCATGCTTACACTTGTGCTTCTACCAGTCAGATGTCTGCAGCTTCACCAACTGTAACAAGCAAGGCAGGAGGTCAGTTGAATGAACCTTGCATTCAACAGAAAATAGTCATTAACACCTGTATGCCTTTGGCACCTGGAACTCAGATAATGATTAATGGTACTCGTTTTGTTGTTCCTCCACAAGGCCTTGGAGCTGGCAGCCATGTTCTTCTTCTCTCTTGTAATACAAAACAGACTCCTCCTTTAACTATTAACCACGGTCAAGAAGCTCAAGGTGTACCAATTGTTAATCCAGTAACCTCAAAAATCATGCTAGCACCAGGTAATTCATTAAGTTGGCAAATATCAAAACATCCTTTGAAAAGTTCTACAAAAATTGTGAACTCTTTTGGGTCTGCAGATGCTTTACCCATCGTACATGCAACACCGCAGGTATTTAGTACTCCAGCTAGCTCATGTACTCCACTGCCTGCAGCGACACTGTCTGTGTCTTCAGTGATAAAACCTCCTGTTAGTGTTGTAGCTACATCCTCTGTGGTTTCTGCTGCTCATCCTCCGAACTCTCATTTACCAAGCAACACTTCAGTGTTTCACTTAAACACTTCTATCAAAAAACTGTTGGTCAGCCCAGAAGGAGCCATTTTGAATGCTATAAATACTCCAGCATCAAAAGCTTCTTCCATATCTTCATCACTGCCTCCTGTTGCTGTGTCCACAAGCAGAAATCCTACCACTGTCTTCCCTGCATCTCAGTCTTCTTCCCTCGATAAACCTGACAAAGCTGCATCCTGAATTTACTGCAAATGAGCCACTTTGAAATTATGGGGATTCTTCTGACTTCGGAAGTTGTAACTGTTGAATAATTTCTTATGTTGTTTGAAACAGTTGATTTACTGAAAATTACTTAAGATTATAGTTCTTTCCTGTTTACCTGTGGGGTTTAGGAGGAAGAAAAATTTATTTAGTTTGACAGAAGTTTTCAGTGAGTTCTTTAGTAAAAAGGTCAGAAATTACTAGTGTGTTCATTAAACATTTTAGTTTGAAGAAATCTAGCCTTTTGCACATGTTCCATCTTACAGTATGGACTGTTTGCCAGTGTGTTTATGACAGTATATATCTCCTTTTTATTTGTCAAATTTATTTTTGATTTTTTTCTGTAAAAAAAATACTTATGCATTGTAAAAATGCAGTCTATGGAATAGAATTGTATATATTCATGACTTCCTAACAATCTGTACTAAACTATATGTACAAAGAACTATACTGTCTTATTTATGTTTTGTTTACATAATGTATAGTTTTTTAAGTATTTTAGTAACTTTGGACCAGTGTACTGTTTAGCAACAATGCAGAAGAATCTGCATATAATAAATCAAGTTGCTGTACTGCTTTGTGTTGGCAATAGTTTAAAAATGTGTTTATGTGTTACACCATGGCAGAACACATATCTATACATCTTCCTACTTAATTCAGATTCATCTGAGCTTTTGGAATATAGTAGAATGAAATTATTTAATCTCTACTGCTTTTCTTTGTGGTTTACATTTCACGTGATTGGATAGGAAAGAAGGCCATCCTTGTGATCCTAATGCAGAGCTGGGTAGCCCGTACCTCATCCTTTCTTAGTAAGTGTTTGGTTATATTGCTTAAAATCTCTGGCGGTGTGCTAAGACTAGAAGTAGTTTCCAGGATACCAGTCTAGGCATAATGGTTGCTGTTCAGGACTGCCATGTTTTGTCATAAAGCTCATAGATCTGTTGAACTTTTTTTGTTGTTGTTGTTTGGTTTTGGTTGGGGTTTTTTTGGTTTTTTTTAAGGTTGGACTTGATGATCTCAGAGGTCCCATCCAACCATGGTGATTCCGTGATTCTGTGAACAGTTCATTATTCTCATTTTACAGCCTTGTATGCACTTCCATGTATCTGGTAACTCTAACAAGGTCACTCTTTAATCTTCTGTCTAGCCGTAACAAGCTACCCAGTTTTATCACCAGTCATGCTTTCTAGTTCTGTATTTTTTTCTTCAGTTTTTAATTGGTCAGTCTGGAAGGACAATCCTAAAACATCACATAGTATTAAAGGAGGCCTTATTACTGCTTTGAGTGAGAATAATTCACATATTACCTAAACCTTCCCTTTTTATGCAGTGTATTCAATATTTGTTGGCTTAGATTCAGCTTTTGATCTGGTAAACTCCTTGGGTTATTTTCTGCAGATCAGCTTATTTCACAGGTGCCTGCTCCAGTGTTCATGAAAGTAGAGAAGTTTTCTGGTATCTTTTGGGACTCAGCATATGAAGAAAGGTTGCCCATCTATCAGCTCTTATTTTATGGAAGATGATTATTTCATAAGTGCTGATTTAAAATCTGAAGCCAAAGTCTCTGTTACTTACCAGTCTGAGTTTGAACATCGTTGTATGTATGGGATTTTTTTGTTGGTGTTTTTTTTTTTTCTTTAGGAACTAGAAGGGAAGATTTCAGAAGAACTCAGGAATGTTAGTTGCCTTTTTAATAGCTACAACTTCAAAGGGGGATAAAAGCTTACATGTCTGTGTAAGCAGTGTTCTTTGACTGATTTTCATCAATATGAAGCTTAAGCTTTTGCTCCTCATCCTGTCAAGTTTTCTCCTTTACCCATTTGCTATACATAGTTTGGATCTTGGGTTGAAGAATAAGACCATGGTTTACTCCCTCTGTCTTGACTGCCCTTCGTATTGTTCTGAAAAGTAATCTGGTAACTAGTTAACTAGAGTTCTGGGAAAGTCAGGGGAAGAAAGGCCTTCCATAGGAACCTTCCCTTTCTGGACTAACAAAAAAATTTGAATTGGGAAAGTGCCTCTTTCTAGATCAGCAATCTGCATCTTATCTCAGAGCTGGGAAAGATGGAAGCTGTCAGTTTTGAGGTGAGAGGTGGTTTACTCATATTTTAGAAAAAGCTACCTAGTACACTTTTCCTACTTCTCATTAAAGGTCGTATGTTATTGATTTACTACCCTGTAGTAAGCAATGTCTGCTTGCTAGAGTTTACAATATTAAACCTTTTAAATCTGACTGCATTTTGCAGTTGAATGTTACAGGTGACTTTTCCAACAGAGGAAGATGGCAGAGAATGGCAGTTTCTTCATGGACATTTTATATACTTTAAAACCATATATACCAGCCACACATTTTATTTCCATTTCTCTGGTGGAACCTTGGGACTGACTTTCTTGGATTTTTCTCTTATTGGCTATTTTTATTTATGTTTGATGTAGAGTAAATATCTACATTGCTTGGAAAGCTTAAGACTAGGTTTTACTATTGCCAGCAGCCTGGATGGAGAAAAAAATCTTGCATGACATTTTTCTGTGTGCTAATGTAGTAGAAAGATTTATGCTGTTGTCAATTCTAATAAAGAGAAACATTAGAAAAGCTTAATTGAGGAACTTGGAACTCGTGCTACGTACCTGAATGATTTCTTAGAAATGTTCTGAATTAGTACAGTATTTTATAATTGTTTTTTAAATATTTTATAATGTGGCAGGCATAAATTTTGCAACATGCAAAGTTTGATTCAGTTTGATTAGAATTTTCATGGACTTTTATTCTCTACTGGACACGTGTTCAGGTTCAAAATCCTGTCAGAGAGAGGCTCAAGACTGCTATGTAATGGGTTTGCATGATGCATTATTTTGTAAAAATCAATTTTAGTCATTTTTGTGAATAAAACTCACCTTGCCATCACTCTTCTCTAATAATAATATAAATGTTGGTCAGAGTGAGACTTTCTTTCAAATGAAAGCAAATAGCCATTGATGATTTGCTACATATCTTTTGTTCTCTCTACCTAAGATACAGTACTACATATAGCACAAAAAGAACTGTAAAAAGGTAGGTTGTATTGACAGACACAATGAAAAAACAGAACCTCCTGCATCTTTCCTTTAAGTTTAAAAGACATTTAATTACACATATAAATAAATACATCTGTAAATCAGTCTTTGAAGAAAACACGTTCACCTTTTCAGAGCTTGTAAAATGCCTTTAGACCCCTACAGATATTCAGACACTGTATTATATACAAAATTTTGGGCTTACTAATTACTTTCAACATTTTGGTTGATATCTTTGATATTCATCTTAGTGGAAAAATTCTGCACAATAATTTTGCTTAGCTTTGAGTAGAAAAGTGCGTTCGTCTTGCCTCACTCTTCTAAAACGTGTGTGTGCGCTGCCATTTTTTTCTAGGGATCCTGCCCCTACCATACTAGAAGCAATTAAATTTCACAAGTATTAGGAATCGTAGAAGTACTTGTTCAAACCAGGTGTGTTACTGGCAACTCATTCAAACCCACTCTGATTTCACTGTGTGACAGCAGGGAGTACGTTGCGGAAAGTGAAGCAAAAATTCCCCTGATAAGTAAGTGAAGAGAAAGTTACTTGTCTTGTGTAAGCAGGCTCGAAAATTAATAAAAGCTGGCATCTGAAGGGCATCCCTAGCCTTACCACAGGCTTTCCACAGAGTTTGTTCCATAGCTGGTTTTGCCTATATTTTGTGGTAGTGCAGAATTTTAGTAGCTGAAATTGATTTAAGTAAATTAATGCTTACATTTGAGAGTAATTCTCAAAGTCTCAAAGACAAGCAAGTCTTACATTTAAGACTTACATTCATGCAGCCCATTTTCTGTAAGCTGCACATGAAGTGAGTTTATTGACCCAAAATCAGATTAGGAGTGCTCTATCAGACTAGAAGTCCATCTATCATGGCATCATGTTCCTTGGAGCAGTCAACAGTAGCAGGCCGAAAGAGCAAAATAACAGGCCTCTAGAGTGGTTATTCTTCTAGTATCCACTAATCTGTGATCCACACTATTCTACAGACAGCTGTGACTTTTTTTTTTTTTTAATTTAATAGCCCTCAGTGTATTATTCTGGATTAAATTGACCAATGCTTTCTAAAATTGTTACGGAATTTTTTGGGTTAGAAGGGACCTTTAAAGGTCGTCTAGTCCAACCCCTCTGCCAAGAGCAGGGACATCTTCAGCTGGATCAGGTTGCTCAGAGCCCCATCCAACCTGACCTTGAATGTTTTCAGGGATGGGGCATCTACCACCTCTCTGGGCAACCTGTTCCACCACCCTACTCATAAAAAACTTCTTCCTTGTATCTAGTCTAAATCTACCCTCTTTTAGTTCAAAACGTTTTAGTTCAAGTTCTTCTTGAACACATGTAAACTGCTACCATGCACAGTGTCCTGTGGTAAAGAGTTTTTCACACAGCGTGTAAATAAATCTGTTTATGAACCTGGTACCTGCTAGTTTCGTTTCACACAAATAATATTCATATTGTAGGATATAACAAGCCTTTGCTATTTATTCATTTTTCCATGTGGCCTATGTAGATGTTTACCATGTTGGTTGTCTTTTTTCTAGAATAAAGAGACACAGTCAATTCAATTATTTCTTATATGGAAGTGATCAGTTACTGTCATTGCTGTGTGTGCCTTTTTCAGTTTTACTAAGTGCTTGAGAATAGTACATGTTCTAAAAGGGCTACAAGTCTGTTCAGCAATGTGATGATGATTTTTCTGCCATAATTATTTCAAAATTTTGGGGTGTTTTTTCTGGCCTTGTACTAACTTTTTCATAGAAATACCAGTTGTAAACCAAATACACAGCAGTGTCAAAAGAAATTCAATTCATCCTGTAAGACTATACCACTTGCAGAAAATCATGGCTGGAAAGGCATGATCTTTAAACCATGTTATTGAAACCAGAACAAGCCTGATGCTCTCCTCTCTATATACAGTTCGTAATTTTGTTTGGTTTAGCTCTCTTGAAAATGTAGAAGGACAAACTGCTGTACTGATTTTTTAACTGTGTCATTATGTTTGTGCAGAGGATACAAGCTTAAGTCTGTCTATTAGGTGCATGATCATTTTATACATATTGGGACCCAAATAAAAATTTTTGAGTTGTTGAACAGGCCATTTTTTCAAACGTGACACAGAATATGTTCTATTTTAAGTATTTTCCTTGAACCTACAGTGGGATAAAACAAACTAAGATCTGGATAAACATGTCTTTTCTTCTTTTCTCAACATACTGAATTTGCTGATCAACCTCGATGTCTGGCGTAAACTTGGAAAGCAGGATATTTTATTGTTTCATAGATGATTGATCCAGAAGTCCTGCAGGAAGTTGGTGTTCTTAGAAGGGCTTTTATTTCAATGTCAGCTGAACTAAACACATTAAATTGAAATGGTATGTAAAAGCAAAGTAAAAGAAATGTAATTAATTGCTTATAATATTTCTTGACATTGAGTTTATTACACAGAAAGTATATTAAAATGTGCATAAATATGATTTCCCACCTTTTGCAGATGAAGACAATGAAGTACAGAGTTCTCATAGCAGCATGGAAGAACTGGGAGCGAGGTCCTTGATCCCCTGATTTCTCTTCCAGTATCCCATCCATAACTGAAGGTTAGACAACTAGATAACTGCTTTATTTTCCCCTATTCTTGCTTTCTACAAAGAAGAAAATGATGAGAAAATGAAATTGTTTTCAAGAATGTGAGTGGCACTGACAGCATCTACAAAAACTAAATAGAACAGGGAAACAAGATAGGAAAGGAACCACTATATAACTGTGATTTGTTTAATTGTCTTCAGGCTTTAGAACTTCGTTTGTTAATATTGATGTCATAAAGAACACAATATACTATTTTATTTAGTTGTTCATATTGATTCCTTCTAGCCTGCAAGTATAACATCAGTCTATTTGGGCTATCTAGAGGTCATGTGCACCTGCTACCAGCAGATACATTGAGATCCTGACCATGTAACATGCTGGTATTTGCAGAATCATTCCTCACTCCCTTTTTTTTTTAAACACATGCAGCAGTAAAATAGAATATCAAAGAAGAATTAGTGATTGGCTATTATTATGTAGGAAAGGGTGTCTTGGTTATAATAAGGAAAAAGTGGAATTATGATGGAATCAATTTGTGCCGTGTGAAAAAGGAGGCATTTTAGAATTATATTCATTTTTAACTGCTGGGGAGGAGGAATTGCTTACATGTATTTATAAAAAACCTTGTCAATTCATGTTAGCAACATGCCAATACTAAAATTACAATAGTTTGTCGAGGCTTGTCTGGCCGATATTCTTCAGTTCAGTTACATGTTATGCCTTCAAAATATTGTTCTTGCCTGTAGAGTGCTTTTCTGCAAAATGATCTTAGAAGAACCTTTGATAGAGAAACAGAAAAACCTGGGGAGGTCTGTCCTAAAGTGTTTTCTTCCTTCCATTGCCTAATAAATATGCAAAACCATAACCTCTTGTTTAAAAGAGCCCATATTTGAAAGTGAGTTTCTTATTTTGGCACATGGAATGCAAGTGATATGGCTGGTACAGCAGTCCAATTTCCTTGTATGAGCCACACCACGGACTGGGCATTTATCTCACTGTAGTGACCAGTAGAGAATGGTTAGTGGAAAGAACAAGAAATAGATAAGTATGAGTTAATTCTCCCCCATATGTGTACATGCTCCAACAGTAATTCCAGGACAACTGTGTGAACTCAGCCTGGACTTGTCTGTGACATGAAAGAACAGAATTTGCAACCAGAGAGTTAAGTACTGGAAGAAGATGGGCAGTAATTCAGAGAAGCAAAGCAGAAAAAACAATGGACATTAAAGCATAAAACTGCTTCTCTGGTTTTAGAACTGGTAGGAGAGGTGCATGAATTCTACTAAAAAGCAGAAGTTTTGAACAGGGAATTGACTGTCAAATACTGTTCTTGTCCTTCAAGGTGTAGAGCATGCAGACTGCATATCCTGGTGACTACCAATATAAGAAAAACAGGTGACTTAAACCTCTGTTTTCACCAAGAATGTTCAGAAAGAGATTTCAGGAGATACAGAAATAAGAGTAATTTATTACAAGGTAGGCCTGTGATACCTTTTAATCCTTGCATGCATACATTAGATTAACATTCTATGAAATAGCCAACACTTACCCTATGATTTTGTTGTTTTACTGCAAATTTTGAAGCTCTCCAAGATTTTTCTGAATATGGTTACCAGATGACAAGCCTCAAGTTGCTTCTGCAAACCTGGCACTGAACAGTGTCTATAAGGGACAGCTCCTGAGGGTCAGTAAGGAGTTACTTGGGGTGTAAGTGATGGTACACAGAAACAGAAATCACTTACTTCTGCCAAGGTAAATGGGGAAAGACAAACTGATAGAAATTGGAAGATTAGACACTTCTCTTAGAAGATACTCTTCAACAACAAATTAGCCAGTTCTTTTTCCTAATAGCAACAGGAATGCAGCTGATGATAAGGTAAATTCAAAAAAGAACTGGGTAGAAAGAAAGCTGCTTTTCTGTTTAAGCAGAGAACATAGTGAATGTGCAGCAGAGCAGTCTCTCTTTCCCATCCAGAAATGGAAGCTAGCAGAGTTGAAAATACCTTACACAATTAGTATTGAAAGACTAAAGTATTTGTATTAGGCTGTCACTCTTTGTCTTGTACTGATTTGACAGAACAAGGGGTAATGGCTTTAAACTGGAGAAAAGCAGATTTAGATTGGAGATTAGGAGAAAGTTCTTTACTATGAGGGCTGTGGAGCACTGGAACAGGTTGCCCAGGGAGGTGGTTGAGGCCCCTTCCCTGGAGATATTCAAGGTGAGGCTCGATGAGGCCCTGGGCAACCTGGTCTAGTTGGGGGTGTCCCTGCTGACCGTGGGGGCGTCAGACTAGATGACCTTGAAGGTCCCTTCTGACCCAGATGACTCTATGATTCTGTGGTTCTATGATTTGTACTCGACTCACGTGATATACCTCTTGGGGAAGGAGCAAATAAATCATATGGCCCAAACATGTATTTGGGGCTATACCAAAATGGTTTGGAATTGTGAAGGCACATTTGCTGCTCTAGCATTGTTCCAGTTTTGTCCCATGTGAGTCCAGCAAGAGTGGAGTTTACCACTATCGCATGGCAAAGAGATTTCAGGGGGATCTGGAGAAGGTAATAACCGATGTAGCTTAGGTGTCAACGGTGGAGTCACAGTGGATTTTGCATTCTGCCCTTTTTTTCCTGGTGAAATAGATCCCAGAAGTCTCTGGTTCTATCTTGATGAGTAAATTTGAGAGATGGCTCAGGGTGGATGAGCATGAGATGGACCATGGTCTGTTCTTCATATTCCCATGAGCACAAGGCATTTAGGAATACTGCTACACCCAAAAACGTGGTCTTTTGCATTGGCCCAGGAGTAGAACCTATGTGGACAATATGTTTTGAAGAGCTAGATTTTTGCAGCAAGGGAAGTGATAGTTCTTTCTGTTTATTAGAAACCAAGCTGCCTTTAAGCCAAGGATTTTCTGGGGAAAGGAAGTAAAGTGAGAATCAGAGGATTGTGTAAGGATGCAGAATATGGAGGGTCAATTTCAAAAAGTGCAGAAGGGCTGGTTTTTAGCTGTCAGGATGTATGGGATGTGTAGATAGTAGCTGTAGAGAGCTTTTTTAACTTTATACTGCTGCTAGTTTACCTTTATTACTATATGTAAAAGCTTAGTGCAGACGTGTGACCAAAAGACAGCACTGGAAACTTGTAAGCGCTTTTCAGATCTAATGGGCAACAAAATGTGTTTAATGAAACAGGGTGAACACACAACAGTCTTTCAGTTTTGTTGCACAGTTTAATATGCAGTCAACAGAAAAGTACACTTCTCCAAAGCATAGAGGAACTCATGGACCTTTACATAAGAAGTGAAAATGAGTTTGCTTTTAAAGTCAAGAAAAGGTACTCTTATGTCACATAAATACATGGACATACACCAATAAAGTAATGGATATTTTACTAGGCATAAACATGAATCAAAATATGCTAGCAATATTTTATTTAGCTGAAAAACTACATGCGATATGGTTAATACTAAAGCCGTTCTTGAGGCCAAGATAACCTGTCTGCATCCCCAGTCACAGCGGGCGTTAAGCCGACAGAGATTGCTGAGGTGGACATCACTGGATCTCCTGGCAACCAGCTGCACGTGCCAGTGCCATTACACTGGACTGGGGAGACTCTAAGAAGCCAAGTGCTTCCTGCAGGAAGCCCTTGGTGCTTTATTTTATCACAGCTCTCTGACGTATACGGTGTATACGCTATGGCTCTTGGCCCAGTGAGTGTTTCGCTACATGGTTCAGTCTGTCAGGAGAATGGCACTCGTCAGGACCTGCTGCAGTTATAATTTACCAATCTGACCAAAACACACTATATTAATGAAAGGCCTGGTTTTCCACGTTGTTCATTGTATGTACGTAAGGGTTGAGTGCTTATCTATAGAGATAGTGCTAAGATCCTTCTGTACAAATAAGTTTTAATAACAATGTTTCTGCTTCTCTGATGGAAGCAGATGAATGCAGACCAGTAGCTAGCAGAACTTCATTCTCCAGCTTTGACCAGCCACCTCTCTTTGTCAGCATCCTGGGGGAGAACTCAAATTGCCTAAGGGTTTCTTCATTTGCACATTTGGTGGGAGAAACTGAAGCGCAAAGATCATATTTGTTGAGAGTTGTAGTTGTAATACGAGGCATCTGATTGCAGCAAAAATGGTCAAATAAGTGGAGCAGATTTTTGACTTTTACATCCTCCCTGTACCATACCTGACCATACCAGAGAAATTATAAATCTAAATTTTGGTGACCATTGGTTACTCTGGGGTCACATGACTGTCTAATCTTACAGCCTTTACCGGAGATTAGAAAACTCTATACCACATTCTCCATGTTGTAGTTGAGAATTTTCTATGCATTTCTTTTTCTTTTTTAGTGGACAGACACTCCAGGAAGTTTTAGCTTTTCTTTGGTCAAGTGCAGTGTGATGGAGTGTAATACAGAAAGTACACAAAGTAGCCAGTTCCTGCAGTGTGCAACCTTGGCAATTACAGTCCTCTTGCTTACAAGTTGTCCCCTGCCCTGTGTTGCTGTTTTATAATGGATCAGCAGCCAGTCTCTCCAGTGCACCCTCGCTGGGTATAGAGCCAGATTTGAAAAATGGAATTTGTAAAGGTGTTTACGAGTGATGAAGCTTCCACCCTATATAATATAGTACTCTATGAACCTCTATTTCTTGCTCTTATTTTCATGCACTAATTGAAATCTGAGACCACTGTCTATAAAGAAAGAATACTACTTTCACAGGGAGGAAAAATGGGAGAACTGTCTAAAAACTAATCATAGGTTTCCAAGAGGGCTTATCTATCATTAAGTACCTATAAGTTAGTGTCAAAGTTCAGTTGTTCCAGTTGTAGCTGCTGAGCAGTTCCAACAATTCGGCCTTGCGTAGTCCCGGAAAGAAGTTCATGTTTCTACTTAGTCAGTGTTAACTTCCTTGTGAGCTTTTGAAATGGCGAGTAGCCCATTTAATGCTGACACTACTGAAAAACGTGTGGGGTCAAGTTAAGGTTTTTGAACTCCAAGCACTTCACTTCTTTATAGGAATTAATCTTTATAGAAATTATTTTTTTCACAGCCATGAATGTATATGTCCATTCCATTCGGCTACAGCAACATGCAGTCTTTTGAAAGGATCTTGCCGCAGGGTAGAGAGTTGCAGAGTACAGAGTTGCTAACAATCATTAGCCTCAAGCTTTAGCAAACGAGTTTTGCCAAAAATTTAGTCACCCAGTGTGTTCTACATCTCTGGCACTTACTAGCTATAACCTGGCATTTTGTATATTTTCCTGTGTTGTCTTCTTCCTGTCACTAAAGTTCACAGAATTTTTTGCTTAACGGGGTATATTGGAAATGACACATGTAAGCAGCTTTTTAGGTTAAAATACCTCTCTAAATTTCTAAATAGAAACATCTTTATAAGAACATATATATTGACTATAACCTCTCACAGCAATTACAGACAGTTATTACCTTCTAAACAGTATCAATTTTACTCATCTGTATAAACATTCTTATTACAAAAGAAACATTTCTAAAAATCTATGATTTATTACTATATATGGAGTTTATGCTAGGCAAGTCAATCTGCCTGGTATTTAAAACCTTTTTTTGTTTTAAGGTGTTTGTGTTTGCATACTTAACACCAAAAAATGGATTCTTTACTAATAGCAGGTAATAATTGTTTTATGAACATAGTTCTCTTCTGTAACTACTTTTCATTTTAACAAATGTTGTACAGTTTTAGCTGCTTCCTGCGGTGACTTATCAGGCCTTATGTGTAAATTTGTTGATCTGTGTGTAATCTTAAGTAATAATCTAGCAAGTAAATAGTAACAAGGCTAAGTAAACAGTAACTGCCAAATGTATGTAGCCTAATTTATGTGTATCACAATTCTTTGTTTTCTATTACTGCTAGTGTTCTGGCAGCCTGGAAAAATTAACATGTTGGAGCCTGCTGTCTTCTATATTCTTTGAGGAACATGGGCTTCACACATTTTCTCATATGTTTTCATCATGTTAGAAACAGATGACATGTAAAGCCCTATATCCACCAAGTTCTTTGCTTTCTCTCAAGACTGCCAGAAGAAAACTAAAGGTGATTGTCATTATACCCATTGACCAGTATGAAATAATATCGGCTCTAAGCAGAAATTCCTAGGTTGCCTGGATCATGTTTTGTGAATTACTTCATTACAGGTACATAAACAACTGATGTGAAGTAAAAGCCCATTGTAAAATACCGTTGCTTTTTGCCTATCAGCTGCTGATAGGGAAAAGGTTAGTCTTTGTAACAGGGCATGTAGTCAAATGGTTTTGTCCATTCTATGACAGATTCTTGTGCAGTACATTCTAGGGAATAGTTTATTTATTTTTTAAAGAATAGTAAGGATAGTAAGGGAAGAAGATGAAAACTTTCTACTCTGGTTGGTACTCAATGGTATATACTTACTCTTGGTAGATCTATGAAGGATGCAAGATGCCCAGCCTTGAGTGTAGTATGTTAATTTGAGCACAGGACCACAGGAAATGAAAAACTTAAAACAAAAGCACGTTCAGATTTATTGAGCCATTTCAAGAACCAGTTCTGTAAACTAAGCAGGAATAATTTTCAGCAACTACTAATGAAAGCATGCGATTATTTTTTTAAAATTATTTTAGCTTTAAGAAAGTTAAGCATATACAGGAAATAAAGAAGCAGCATGAAGAAATGGAATTGGTATGTTTAGAGTTTAAGATTTCATATTATCATGGTGAATAAGGTGGTGGTGACTGATCTGCTGCAATTTTGTCATAAGCTGGTGGAGCATCAGGTACCTATGGTAAGGAAGATGGGTGTGAAAGATTGAAAAAACAACTGAGGTACAAAAAAATTACATTAAAGATGCAGTGAGCTACTTACCTTGATATCAGATATGGTATTACAGCTTAAAATAGCTGAGCTCATTCATTATGTCTTTTTTCTAAGGTTAGTTTTTGCCAATATGTTTTGCTAATACGTTTGCTAATGTTTTTTTGGTTTTGCATCAGATTAATTTCATTTGGTTTATATCATTCACCCAAAGAGAGAATTTTAAAATTCCAGGACAGATTTTTTTTTTAAAAAGGAAATGTATTTTTATATTGAGAATTCAGACTAATACAGAAACTTTTCATTAAGTCTTGATGCAGGTACACTGTCTTATTTCCAATGTTAACAGTTTATGCGGCTTATTTAAAATTTGTTGTAAATTAGCCTTTTCCCTATTCTAAAACTATTTAAACACACCCGTAACTCGACATATATATTTATCAACTAAGTTATTTCCATTTTTTTAAATTACAGGTTTGAACGTTTATCTTTCCATAATGAAGCTAAAACCTTGAAGTTTTATAATGTGCCCTGAAAATCCTTGTCAGGATATAGTATACCAGACACAGTCTATTTGTTCTTTGTCAGAATGGTGGAACATCTGTTAGGGAGATGTTTGTTTATTCAGTATATTTCAGCATTCAGCTGTTACATCATTTTAATAGATTGCATAAGGATGATATAACTTAAGAATGAAGGTAGGTGAAATAAGAGAATTTTTTTACAAGACTTATTCTTAATATTAGTCTTAAAAAAACCTTTTAACAGTAAAACTTGTGCAAAATACTACTTTTTAATACTTTTTAATATACTTTTTAATACTTTTTAATACTTTTTAAATACTACTTATACTCAGAGGTATTGAAGACCCAATCTAGAAGAACACCCCAAGAAAGAAATCATCAGCCTGTGACTGTGTACCAAGATTGTCTTACTATGTTATAAGTAAAAGAAATCTTGAGTTGCGACTTACCACAGAATTAAAGTTTCTGTACTCCTGCAGAGCCATTTTGCAGTCCAGCATTGTTCCTTCACCTACCACGGTTCGTACTGTGCCCACACTAGAGCTTTTGCTCTGTGACAGTTCATAAAGAAATATGGGGAAGATGAAAGGAAGAATAGAAAGTCAAGTTGGAACAAATTATGCATCATTTAATATTTGACAGCACATTTACAGTATGTCTTAGCATCTGAGATTAGGGGCAGACAGAAGGCCAGCAAGTAAGAGAGGTAACCTGCCTATCACTTTTTGCTGTCTGTGCTGAGACATTCTCTCCTGTATCATCCAGTTACATTGCCAGAAAAATGAGGATCACATATTTTAGGTGAAGGACTGCTGCAGGAACTGACAGGTTCTCGCATACCTGAGTGCTTCCTTCCTTTTATCCCACCCATTTCTTTCTTTAATCTCCAACTTCTTTCTTTTCCGTTTTCCACCATTTCTTTTGTATACATTCTGTACCAGTCTCCCCTAACCAAAAAGCCTAACAAAAATTCAGTTTTCACAATCAGAAAGCATCGATCTGCAATGAGAAGGAATCAAAAAAGAAATTGTGCTTTTTGCCATGACATAGAAAGCAGGCATGAAAGAATTCTTTTTTGCTTCTTAAAGGTTTTTCTGAGTACTTCATTTTTGCAACATTTCACTCTGAAAGTTCAGGTTTTATGTATTCTGCCAGTTGATACATGTATTAGGTAGATCACTGGAAATGTAACAGGACGGAGTTGTTGGGAACAGTAAGGAAATGGATTTGCTAACATAGATAAAAGGTATGTTTTTAATTCCAAGCAGTCACATCTTTTTTGAAATAGTAGGATAACTAGAAGAAGTTTACTGTAAAACATGTAATTGGATAATACTTTAAAGGACTGAAAGTGGCTTCCCTTTCATAGGAGATGGAGCAGAACTTCAAATAAAAAGCTTTGAGACTTCTAACAACAGATGTTATGAGAAGGATTGTTATGTTTTAAAATATTTTTTAAGAGACACAAAGTAGAATTTTTTAGAAGTAGTGTTTAGAAAGCAAACCTCAAACCTGCCCTGCTTCTTTGTAAATCTAAAAACTGCAAGTCAACTCCTATACAAATAAATCATGCATCACTCATACATGATTATAGTATTTACTTAGTTACTAGTAGCTGTTATATGTACTTCTTAGATTGACTCTAAACATATCTGACCTTATTTCGGGGTAAGCCTTATGAGTAGTGCATATGTTATTTTTATTTAAATGAAAATACGCAGAACACATCTTGGGTTTTGTGTAGATATTAAATAGAATGCTTCCTGGAGATCAGTTTTTCCACTGAGGTACTGTGAAAGTTGGGCAATTGTCTGCATCTCCCTGTGCTTCTGCTTCCTCTTACCCCTTTGCCTGGCTTCAAGTTCTTTGGGGCAAGGTGTGTGGTTTTATCTGTGGTATATCTCAGCATATATATTGCTGAGTTAATGAAGTTGTGTCACAGGGTCAATGTCCAATGCAATGACATAATGCTACTAATGATAATATGTTGTAAAAATAATAGCATGCTAGAAAGTGAGCCGCTGTGCTTACCCGCAGACTTTTATAGCCACTACGTCTTTTGTAATACCAGCAGCCAAAGATAAGTAAAATTGCCAGCACCAAAATGAAGAGTCCAATACCCAGAGCTCTGTTGGCAAAGCAAAACAAAATAGTTACCACCAGAACTAGAATCATAGAATCATTGAGGTTGGAAGAGACCCTTGGGATCATGGAGTCCAACCATCTACCCTACTCTACAAAGTCCCCCCCTACACCATATCCCTCAGCACTGCATCTAAACGTCCCTTAAACACAGCCAGGGATGGTGACTCCACCCCCTCCCTGGGCAACTAGACGCATTCTTCTGGGAACAAGAGTGATTAGAGCAAAAGTTTGTATCAGTATCCTTTTAACAGCCGAAGGCATGGAGCAGAATTTACTGCAGAAAATAGACAAAGTATCAATAACTTCAGCCGGGCTCTGTAGGTTAAGCAGTTTGCTAAATTAGCTTCCAAGTTCTTAAGCCTTTTAAAAATGAGGAATACATTGCTTCTAAGATAATAATCTACCAGTCACTACTGCTTCTAAAAAAATCCCTGCCTGTAAATCCAACAAACAGCATTGTGCTATTGGAAGAGAATGTCTCTGCCCCACCTGCAGGGACACAGCTCATGTTTATTTGTTGAGAAATGTATCTTAATTGCATATCTTTGCACCACCACCGCTGGTGACAGAAGGATTTTTTTGATACATAATACACTACCCAACCTCAAAACCTGAATAAGAAACTTAATTATTCATAAAGAGCTCTATAATTCTTTAGTTCTTGTTCCGTGACATGGGAGGCAGAGTATTGATACCACTAGGGCATTTTAGGGAGCGTAGGGTTTGCAATCTGTGCTGTAAGACATCCTTCCTACTGCTTACCGGGGACTTTGGAGAGGGAGCACAGTTCCACTGTGTCAGAAAGCAAGCTGACAGTAATTGCAGCTGAAAGTAATTGCAGTTTCCTAGTCACAAACCCCCTCCACCTGTGCTAATATCCTCCCTATTAAGACAGGCAGAATTCACTCCCCATTTTTCTTTCTTCTTTGCGTATACGGGAACAGAAATGTCTGCAAAACATTTAGTGGGAGAAGAGGACAGGGAAAAAAATGATCATGATTCAGGATAAACCCATTCCTAACATACTTTTATATATCTTATATCTGGTTGCCCTGCAGTAATTACCACCAGGCTTTTCCGTTGGGACTGGGGAGTGAGCTATGTGACTTATCAAGAACTTTTTATATCTATTTGCTTTGTTTCCACTGACTCACAGTCTCGTGAAGGAGTGCTTCCTTGTGATCTGAGAAGCCTGAAAGAAGAGGCAAGCAGTTCGTGTGGCAGAACAGGCTATCTTTTTGTCTGATCTGCCCCTGTGGTGTTTGAAGCATGAAGCCCCTCGGAGCCAAAGGAATTTTCTTTTTTGCAAGTATCACAAGTATCTGAATCTTGCAAACCCCTTGAAGACTTTGCATTGGCTGGAGATCTGTCCAGCCCAAGAATACAGCTCACACCATTCACTTGCTTCCTGGTGCAGCCGTGTTGCAGCTGATCTTCATGAGATGTCTCCACTGGGTTTGTCACTGGCCCCAGCACAGTTAAAACTTGGAGAGACAACTTCTCGAAGCAACCGCTGCTTTTCAACATTTTGAGACTGCTTTCTGCTTTTTGTGTGCTGCCTACTTTTAGCCTGTATCCCCCGCAGTAATTATGTCCTTTCTGCAGTTGGTGATTTTAACTGCGAGTTAACTCCTTCCCTGCCTATTCAGAGGCTGGTATGAGAAGGGTCTATGCAATTTCTTGCAATAAAGTTGCAGCTGTGCTATTAGGAATCTGTGCTTATATCCTGAATGTCTCTTCTGGCACTGGAAAGAGAGAGTCACTTTTCCCTCGCGTATCTAGAAAAATGGCTTACAGTTGCAGCCCCTGGAATTCATGGCAGTTAAGAGGTGAGTGTGCTTAGTTTTAAGAGCTGAGACATGACTAGCCAGCTTTTCTTTCAGAAAATTGACCTGCTTTGGAAGGACTACGAGAGATCTTACTCTTTTGTTTATTCTCTCTGCCCAGGGATGAACACAGAGAAATAAATACCTTGCAGTCTGTGTGTGGGCCAAGCCACCAAGTTTGGGGGCCAGTAAACTAGTACGAGAAGTACATTCCACATACAGGTATCCCAAGCACATTGAAAATACTTGACTAAAGTAATAACACATCATCAGTGGGATGGTGTCCGTAGTGATCCAAAACCCAACATATTTTATCATAAGCCAAAACTAACAAAGTATTAGCTTCAATTAGTTCTGCTTAAGTGAAGTCTCACCCAGAAGCAATTTACTGGGAGTCATATTTGTAGGGTATCGATGTCTCCATTTGCTTTTTTGTAGTATTTTACCATTTCTCTGGGGTTTTCACTTATATTATTCCTTAGGGTGAGACAATGTCCCTTTGAGGTTCTGAAAAGATGTGAATGTGGAGATAAAACTTAAAGATCACCTTACAACAGCCTCAAAAGAAAATGCTGAATAAGCCTCAATAAATCTGGTAATTTTATTACAAAGGTTAATGAATTGTGATCATATGATCAAACTCTAGATTCTTGAATTCTGCAATTATGATTTTTCTTAACCGTTGAAGGTTTGTTATGATTCTGCAATGACAAACTTTAGAGACGACTACAAGATATCTAAAACGCACTTCACCTAGATACAACAGTGACTTTTCCTGATATTATTCTGTACATTTCTTTTAGTGTAAAACCAGCTTACACACGAACATAGGTTTTGCTTTATGCTTACTCTTCTGCTGCCACATAGCTGTGTCCTCTTCCTCTGAAAAAGTTGCCATCCGGATGGTGGTAATTTCTGGGCATTTTGTGAGCTTGGTCCTGCTAAAACCTACAGGATAGAAATACAATGCCTTAATGCAATAAATAATTTGTTATCTTTAAAGCATAACATCGTCACCTTTTTTGTTTTAATGGGAGTGTTTTAGGGAGGCAGAACAACAGGATGTCTTCAGAATTGAGTAGATCCAGATACACATTTGACTGTCCCAATTTAAGGCAAAACTCAAAACTGTAGCTATAATCTGCATTTGAATAGCTCCACTGACACCAAGGTATTTGCACCTGAGTCCAACAGAGAAGAGTTTGACATGGTCTCTTTAGGTACTAGGCAATGGCAGACTTCTGAAGTAAAATCTCACAGGAATAGAGAAAGAAAGGCAGTTTACTTGGACAATAAAAACTATTCAGAAGAAGAAAAACTAATATTGTCAGTACAAGTAGTTGTTTCTTTATTTCTGTTATTCCCTGTAAATGCTGGAGGGCCAGCTGGTTTTCAGCCAGCATAAACTCACAGACATCTGTTGATTTTCAAATGGTTATACTAATTTATGTCTGCTGACAATCTATGCATAGACATGCAGGGAATTTAAATTATAATCCTAATTTCCAGTTTTAAGGGAATAATCACCCTGCTAAAAGCAGTCTGAACAGTTAAAAATCAAATTGATCAAATATAGTGAAGAAGAAATCCACAAGTAATTGTTTTCTGTCATTTAAACAGCACAACAACAGATCCTACTTGATAGTATCCAGCTATTCTACCTACCTTACACAGGTAAAGTACAAAACCCAGTGATGTTACTGAAGAGAATTCTAGCCAAGGAAACAAAACATTTTCAAAATTCACTTAGAGACAGTCAAGCCCCTTCTAAAACATAATTTTGAAGCAACTTAGAAAATATTGGGTAGAATAAAAAAATGCAAATCTTACCTCCTTCAGACCAGCATTCCGTCTGTTAAGTGAAAGGCATGTACAGCTTTCTTTTCCTTGACTTGGTCTGGTCTTTTCTTCTTTGATCTGTTCTCTTATGACTATCACGAGTTTAAATTCCTTTCAGTACAGCTTCTGAGTGCATTAATTAGCATGAAAGAGGCAAGGAGACAACATTTCATTTTCTTCTTACAGTCTGCATCCTTCTCTCCTAACAAGCAGCTCAAAAACCTGTTATTTCTTCATTTATTACATACCCCTGAGAATTGGCCCAAAACCTTTTTACCAGTCCGATCAGTACAGCCTCATAGAGCAGGCAGACTGCTTCTAATTCAGACATGTTTTGATTTAGGGCTGATTGTTTTGTGAGAGAGGGCTGCTGTTTTCGCATGTGTTCAACTATAGCTTTGTTTGTGCACACTTTTTGGAACACAGTTTGTAACATTGTGGAAATTTGTATAGTTGGAGCATATCCATAGATGGATATGCTGTTATACCCCGATAGAAGTGTCTTAGATTAGGGCGAGTGCAGTTTAATTTTGTACAGAAAAGCAAATGCAGCAACAAGAAGAGAGTCTGTCCCGTGGGCTGCAGAACTAACGAAGCCTGGTTTCCTATGGATTTGTGTGAATTGCCCATTCTCGCACTGCAGTAATTCCATTTACAACACCAGGCATGAATTAGCAGTCTGTGATTAATTCAGAGGTCTGAGTACTCTGGTGGACCCGCAGTATTAATTACTGCCAAAAAAAAAACAACTGTAGAAACCATGTCATTTGTCCCAATTAATCATTAATTTGGGGCTCTCTATCCCCTCTCTATCTATGTTTCTATTGAGGCTCTATAATGTATCCACGGATACATATTATTTTTTTTAAGTCTGAAGGACTCAAAGCTTTAACATTTTTGCTTATCTTTGAAGCTGTGAACCTGGCTGTTAATGTGGTTGAAAATGGCTGACAGACTCAAAAGTGAAGAGGAAAGAACAAATAGCGTGAGAGATCAACATCCACTTCCTCAGAAAATCAGATGATAATTAACATCAATATTCTTACCCAGTGCAGGCCTGGGAAAAGCCAGACCATTTTTCTGCTTGTGTGTTTTGCCTAATTATGGTAAAAATCTGTTCTTTCTTTGGCTATTTTTCCATGGTGGTGCCCAGTGACAGGACCAGAGGCCATGGGTACAGACTGAAACACAAGAGGCTCCAGCCAAACATCAGGAAACACTTTTTTGCTGTGATGGCAACTGAACCCTGGCACAGGTTGCCCAGAGAGGTGATGGAGTCTCCATCTTTGGAGATACTCAAAAGCCATCTTGGGCATGGCCCTGGGCATACAAGCTCCATGCTGGAGCAGAGACGTTGGACCAGATGACATCCAGAGGTCCCTTCCAACCTCAACCATTCTGTGATTAACACCAGAAGGATCAAATTGTTTTTGCCAGACTCATTAATGTTCAGAACAACATATTTTTTTGCAGAGGGTGAAATAAAGGGAGGAAGAAGAATGAGGAGCATAAACTTGCTCGTTTGGCTGAATGGTTCAGTGTTTCTCATATTATCCCAGATGAACTCAATGGGAGTTTCAAGGGTGAAGGAGGTGTAGGGAAGGTTTCTGCAGATACCCATGCGTGTAAAGCAGTAAGTGTACACTGTCGCGGCCTCTCAAGGTCCCAAGCACGGTGCCAGCCCTTGTGCAGTACTCTGAGAATGTTGTGGAGCTCATTATCAAATCATGTGTTTTCCTCAAGAAAAGCTGCTCTCCTGGGATAGGATGATAACTGAAGGGTACTGTTTGTTCTTGTCAGAATCAAAACTTGAGACATGCAGGATATCCATGTGATACCAAAACCAGTCTCTGTCCCTTCCTTGCCTCAAGCAGTGTAGGGGGCAAAATGTCAACCGATTGAATATTTTCTGCTCTGAATGAATCTCTTGTATAACAAGGAAGGGAAAAAAACCAGCTTTGTCATGGATCTGTGGTGCCATCTGGTATGTAAATGTACAATGCTGTGATTGAGAGATTGGATGCATGAGAAGGTGAAGCACCATGTCCTGGTTTTGATTTCATTGTTTTTTAACTTACTTCTCTGAGGTGATGCTGCTAACTCTGCCAGTATGAAGTCACTGGAACTGATTTATAGATTCCACAGCTGTTCCCTTTTTAAAGATAACATTTCAGGAGGAGAAGAGAATGGAAGAGGAGAGGAGTATTTAGGAAAAACCCCAAAGCAACCTAGGCCACTTGTGGTAGCCAGCAACCTGTGGCAAGCCTAGGACACTGATGAATCATAGGTATGAAATGAATGCTTCTAGTGTAACTGAAAATCACATCCTTGACCTTTTAAAAAGAATAGCAGTTGGTTTTGTGCTATTGGCAGTGTGATTCTGTCTTTCTAGGACAAGATCCTGGGATTTTTATTGCTTTGTTTATTTCGTTTAATTTATAATCTTTATTTTTCTCTGGTATTAGAGGCTTCCTACAGCAGACAGAACAAGGAAGCACAAGTACCTTGACACCTGATTTACTAAAGACTTTAGTTTTGAGTTTATGTCAAGTGTGTCAATGCTAAATTTACAGTAACAGTAACACAGTACAGAAAAAGTGAATAAGGAGATTATACGCCTTTCAGTTGGTGCTGAGGACCCTCGTCTCTCCATGGTTTGGGGATTTACTTAGGAGTAGGTATTATTTGGCTTCCAGGGCTGAACAGTTCCACTATAGGCCTTTTGAGCTTTTTGAAAAGAAGCTGCTTCTCAAATTGCTGCTGCCTGAACTGCAGACACCTCCAGGAGGCAATGTATTGTCCTGTAGGCTGCCTTGCACGGACACCATTAATATGTTGTCATTGTGGAAGCCTGGTTCATGGAAGTAAGTTCCTCCTCAGGCAATTTCCAAGTGAAACTGTGGTCCTTAGTGTCAGACCCATCTCCCTCTGCCCCTTCTCTGAATAATGTACAGTAAAGAAGGAGTGGTAGCCTTAACCCTGTAGCAGCTATGCCAAGAGGATGCCATGCATGCAGAGGTGCCTGTGTTCCTGCACCTGGATTTTCCAAGGAAAAAAGATTGGACAGCTTTCTGGGAGTGTTTGTTGCTACTTTGTCTGTGGTTGACTGGAGGCTCTGAGCCCAGGGGATTGTTCAGATTTATGGGACTTTCTCCATGAGATGCGGGATGACCCATCATGGGTGAAAACCTTTCCGATGCCAAGGTGAGACTGAGTTATGACTTTCCTTGCATGTGACTGCAGGAGGCCATACCTGGATTCAAGAGAATGGTGGTGCTTTCTAAAGCTTCACAGTGCTGTTTCAACCACTGAGTGGCTAACTGGTTTGGGGTGAGAAACTCCTTGCTGGCAAGATGCTGATTTAGGTCTCTGAGGCCATCTCAGAAACTCTTTGTCTGAAGGAAGTGAATATAGGCAACACTGACTACATCATTAGCAGCTTGGATCAAAACAGCCCTTTACATGTAATACCTCTGGTAATGGTCCAGTGAAGCTTAATTTGGAATTTTGCTGCTACAGCTGAAGTAAAAGCAGCCCCAAATGAATACAAGCACTCAGTACTTTTTCTGTGCTATTAAACAGATACGTAGTCATCAGCTGACAGAGTGTCCAGGTGACTAATACTATTCAGTGCCTTTAGAAAAAAAATAAATAAATAAAAGAATGGCTTTTAATTTTTCCCTTTGCAGGGTCATGGGGTCCTGTTCAGGCTGGAGGAAACCTGGGGAGGTCTCCAACCCCAGTCACTGCCCAGAGCAGAGCCAGTTCTGGGCTCAGACTGGGCTGTTCAGGGCTTCACCCAGTCTGGACATGAAACCCAAAGGATGGAGACAGCCCAAGCTCCCCTGGGCTTCAGCCCCATAACTGGGTTGTCCTCGAGGCTCCAGCCTCAGCCTCTCGTGCTTCAGCTTGTGCTGCTGCCTCTGGCCTCCTGCACACACCGCTGGGAAGAGCCCGGCTGTGTCTCCTCCATCCCTCCCATCGGTGCCAGGGATGCTGTTGGGTGCCCCCAAAGCTGCCCCCCATCCTGGCTGAACCTCCCGAAGCCTCTCAGTGGCCCTCTGCTGAACTCCATCATGTTTATCAACTTCTTTCCTGTATTTGGTGCCCCCAAATGGCTGCACAACTGTGGAGCAGATCAGAATAACCACCTGCCTTGATCTACTGTCTGTGCCCCTGTTCATACAGTCCAGGATGTCACTAGCCTTCTTTACTCCCCCTGTCAGATGTCAGAACATACAGCAATTGGTGACAGGCCTTGTAAATAAAACACAGAATTTTAACAGAAAGTCAGAGGTGGAAACTGCATCTATTAAACATCTTGCTATTCCTCACACACACACTCCCCAAACAATTCCTCTTCCTTTAATTTTATAAAATGAGTTATCTTAAGTATTTGAAGACTGCAGAAGATTGAAGAATAATACTTTCTAGAAAAATCTAAGTTTTTCAATTCAAATGATTGAAAAATGTTGTGTCAGAAATTTCAGGGCCTTGCTGCAAGACTTTGCACACCCAGTTGTGTGCCTTCCAATGTGTATTCTGCAATCAAGCCCTCACAAGTAGTTGGTTAATTGTGTCTTCATTATCTCAGCCTGTTATGGTTCTGAAGGCTGTACTCATGCTCTGTACAACCTTTCCTCTTCTAAGCCAGAAAAAATATATTTCTTACTCTTTGTCTTTAGGCTGTGTTTTCTTAACCTTTCTCATTCTTGTTCCCCTTAATTCTTTGCAACTTAGGTACCCCTTCCAGTTAAAGCCTTGCAAACATCATTACCTCCTTATGGTAAGATATACTATACCATGCCAGAAAGATATTTTCTATTTCTAATGTAGGATTGCACCTGGATTCTCACTTGGTTTGAAGTCCACCATAGCCTTAGGTCTCCCTCTGTTATTCATCAGTCCTTCTCCATTTTGTGTGTGTGCATTTTTGCTTTTTACTTCTGATATTTAGGACTGCCTTTCTCTCTACTGAATTCTATTATTGATGTAACTTCCCCCATTTATCAGGTTTGATAAGTTATCAGATTCTAGCCCTGCTCTGTAGAGGGCTCTGCAAGCCGTTTAGCTCAAAACTATGTCCATGTCCTCTTGCTTTCACGTTCAGCTTGTTTACCGAAAATACTGAGCACTGCTTCCCTAAGCTAAACACCTGTGAGCTCATGCCTCTTCCATTCCATAGTGGCAGCTGTGGTCCATATCTGGGGGGAGGGTTTCTGTCTGCTGCACACACGCTTCGTGGTAATTTTATTTAGACTATAGTTTCCCTGGTTTGCTTATCGTGGCTTCATGGGACTGTGGTGAAGACTTGTATAGTCAAACTGCAACTTCAGCATCAAAATACTACCATAATGGTTACTGGTGTGGTTTGCTTTCTTCCTCCATTTCAAACATTCCTATCCAAAACTTCAATCACTTTATAAATCCTACTAATATTGAGTTTGGAGAAAATAAAATGCTTCAGTATGTCCTGAAATGTTGTAAGATGTGTGATGTAGTCACACCACTACATCATGCTCTTGATACCTTCTATTTTGAAGTTTCAGGAGATGGAGAGAAGGGTAGGCTAATGTTGACTTTTCTGGTTTAGTATTAGCCTGGCTTTCTCTTTCTTTTCTTTGTTGGAGTTGATCTAAAGTAACTAAAAATCCAGCTGACAGGACAAGAGTGGCTCCTGCCATGTAGAAGCCTGCTCTGTAATCACCAGCCATGTCCACGATGAAACCTGGAGAGAAAAAAATGACAGCAATGCGATTGGCAGAAAACAGGCTGATGTGAATTAGCTCAGCAGTGTGAGTCTGTCCTCTCACAAAGGGAATTTGCTGGCTACGTAACTGTCTTGCAGCTTTCTACATCATAAGCGTATGGAACATTACCCCATTATAGCATTTTAAAATTTGAAACACAAGTCATGTCTCATTTGCTTTGCGTATGTGAATTGCTAGTGAAACAAGACGCTACACAGTTTGAAGCACTTTCCCACCAAAAAACATGGCAGACAGTGAAGGTAATGGCAGAAAAAAACCCCAAGTCACACAGCGTTGTATCTGACTAACCCCATGTGCTGTGGTGTAGCTGTCTTCATTTGCTGCCTTTTGGACCATAAGTGTACAGCATGAGAGAGTATAAAGAAGGAAAGCAGAGGCCTCTGCTGGGGACACAGTTGGAGAGGTTGCCTGCAGTATCATGGGCTTCCCTGTTCGTCGTTGTACAAAGAGTCACCAATATTAAGAAAAGACCCTGGGGTTTAGATAGATATAAACCAACCAAAATACCTAATGCCATTGTGTACAGTCCTGGAAAACCAGCCGTACAGCAGTAGTACTGCAGCACTCTATGTGGTGGTACCAGCTGCTCTGTGGGTACAGTGGCAGGCTCATTTGTGGCCTGATGAAGGCTGCTTGCTTGTTCTCTGAAAGTTTGTCCACATTTCGTGTACTCCCTAGCCCTTGTTCCAGTATCAGTACTGTTAGGCAAAGGAACTCTGAATCCAAATCTTTTAGATTTTTCTCTTAAAGTAGGAGACGAGAGCTCAAGAAGAACTTGGGCTTCCCTCCTCTTCTACACCTTCTTTTCAGTTTACTATATATGCACAAAGGGGTTGAACTGATCCCCCAGTAATCAGTACTACTGACCAGCCACTACATAAATGTCCTGTTTTCTTTGTATTTCACTTAGATCTTCCCAACATACTTTTGATACTGTTCTATTCTCAAAGTCTCTATAAATCTCCCTGGTTCCTATAATTTCCAAAAGTGAATTAAGATGTTCCAGTATTTGGTCTGACCCATTTGCAACATATTACTGGTGTCATTACCACAAAAGTCACTGTAGTGCGTGAGCAGTGGTCTTTGGATGAGAGTCTGAGATCTCAGATACACATTTTACAAGTCACATTGGTCATTTTTTCTGCCGTATCACCCTGTAAAGTCCCTACAGCTTGCAGCTTGTTTGTCTTGCGTTTTTCCAGGATGACTTTGTCTCTTTGCCAGCCCATAAATCCATGTGCTGTCTCATTGTCTGCTCTCTCTTCCCACTGTTTTTATGGTCTGCCTGCCCCATCTATTATATTGTTTAGCTCAAACGCTGTCTGAAAACAGCAGGCATCTCTGCGAATATTTCCTTGAGGTTCACATAGCCTAAATGCCTCAAGCTGTTCGATTTGACCTTCTGAAGAAACCCTCCCAACAATACCAGCATTTATGCAACATTACTAGTCTCAGATTTCAGTTTCTTCTCTGAAAGTATGGATCTCTCTTTGTCCCAAAGGTACACTTCCATAGCAAGACCATGGGGGTCCAACAAGTGGGATTCTGTGGGACTCAGGAAGGAGGAACAACACCGTGTGAACCCTGACATTCTTCCCTCCTTTCATGTTGAACAGGTATCTCTAAAACCACAGAGATGTGAGGGAGCAAGATATTTTGAAGAGGAATTAAACTGAGTCTTCGTTTTTATATACTTCTGGGGGTACTGAGCTAAAAAGTAGGGAAATTTGGTTCCAGATCCAGATTTTTTTCAGTTTGGGTTACCATTCCCCTTCTCTTCTTGTAAACTGCGTTTGGCAGAGTATCATCTTAACTTACCAGCAAGAGGAGGCCCCACAAAACCTCCAGTGCTTCGAATGAGCATGAAAAGCCCTAGAGCGCTGTCAAAATCCGGCATGCCAACGACATCTGCTAGCACTGTAATGTGAACGGCGACCGTGGTACCAAAGAAGAACCCGTAGAAGCCAGTGAATATTGCCAAGGACAGGTAGTTGTTGGCCAGGGGCAACAGCATCAGGGAGGTGCTGATAAGCGTAATCGTCATTGTCAGCAAATGGACAGTTTTGGTGACGTGGAGGTTGGCGTACCAGCCACACAGCAGTCTGCCTGCAAAGTCCACCATAGCCAAAATGGATAGGAGGGATGCAGTCCACGATTCATCTATTCCCAGGCTGTAGCTCAGTGGAACTAAAAATAATGGAGGGACAAAAAAGCTCATAGCAGCAAATATGCCAAAAATGGCATAAAGTACAAACTCCGGTTGCCTCACAAGCATCCAGTTGAAGGTTTTGTGTGTGATGGGGGACTTATCTTCTTTGTCTGTCCTAGATGCACCGTTGCCAGGTGGTGTCCCAGTTTCAGAATGGCTCGCCTCGAGGAGGCAGCTGCTTGCCAAGGGTCGCATCAGTACTCCACAGACACAAATATTGAGTTGGATGCCACCTATGATCAAGAGGGCACCTTTCCATCCATATTGACTAATCAACCACTGGAAAAATGGTCCAAACATGAATGCAAAGGCACATTCTCCGGCACTGGCGATAGCATTTGCCAAAGCTCTTTTCTTGGAGAAATAATGGCTAACAATGCTAATGGCTGGTGTCCATGAAAAGGAAATCCCAAGTCCTGAAAAACACCAATACAAATAGCACCAGTTAGACACTTTTGAGGTAGTTTGTGAAGGTGGAAATTAAAGCTTTCAGGGCTCCTCCATTAGCAAAGCCAAAAACTGGTAAAAGAAAAACACTTTTGTTATTAGCAGAAGCATGAGCTCAGTTATACTATGTGTAAGAGTGTATTTGAGGCATATGTTCTGTAAGAATAAGCTGTATGCTCAAGGGAAAAAGCAGGAGTATGAAGTATACACTATTATATTCTCACTGTGGCTTGACAAGTTTGCCACTGGGTGAGAAACCACATGGGCATGTGGTTGAAACTAGGGAGATCTGAGAGTGTCCATGCTGTCTTGAGGCTGGTACTAGATCAGATCACCTGGCTAATCTCAGCTGTGTTCAGGGTAGACAGTGAGGGAGGATGTGAAGGAAGCTGGTGTGTTACCTCTACTTGTGCTTCATTTTCTTGCCCAACTGCTTTGAGCAGGCTTCAAACCTCCTCTAACTTACAGTGATTTTAATGGCTCCCTAGAAACTATTTGGGAGCCCAGGACTGCCAAAGGGCTCAAATTCCAGACATTTTCTCAGGCATCCAGCATGGAACTGGGAATGGTTTATTTTATTCCCTGCCAGCTTCGCTTCCTGTTCCAGGAAAATCTGCTAGCTGTTGGAGACAACTTTCTGGCCTGTTTTCACCTGGAGTAAAGGAAACCCTGGAATCAACTGAAAGCCTGTGCCTGTGTTAAAACATAAGATTATTTGATAGAAAACACGAAATTTGAGATTTCTGTGTCCTTGTGCTTCAGCATTTTCTAAGTTCTTTAAACTTCCACAGAGCTCTTGTCTCTCAGTAAAAATCAGAACACTTTTCATTTTCCAGTTGCATATAATTTGGAGGTGAAAATTACTAGCATCTAGTTATTCGCTTTATTTGTCACTGCAAATTTCTAGCACAAATTCATACTTTCAGAGTGGAACAGGAAGGACATGACCTTTAAAGAGGATTTCTGGTTCTAGTGGCTCATAAAATCAAAATAAAAATCAGACTTTAAAATTCCTACCATTAGCACCCTTGAATAAGGGCTCTGACTCGCTGGTGAAAGAAACCCATAAAGCCAGAAAGTCATACCCTGTAGGAAGCCAGTTGTTGCATACATCCAGAGCATGTTCAGTCCAAGAAATCCCAGTGCCATTCCTGAAAAGGCCAGGAGTCCTCCAGTGATCACGACTGCCCGATGGGTGTATCGTACACATAGCGAGCTGGCAACAGGGGCTGGATCAGCAGCAAAACAGGAGAAAGAGAGGTATGTTAGGAACATTAAGCTGACTGATAGGACAGAGCAATCGAGTAAAGCATTTGGAGAAGAAATACCTTTACAACACTTGTCTCAAACAGCCTGAATTTTCCTGGACAGTGCAGGTCAATCAACATTTTCAAATTGGATCCTTGCTGACAGGGAAAAAACTGCCCCTGGGCCACAGATTTTAAAATATATTCAAAATATGTGGGCTTTTTTAAAGGGAGGGAGCATTTCAGTGCCTTCCTTGTGGAACAGTTCTACTGGGTCTCATGTAAGAACACAGCTAGAGACATGACAGAAATCCATGTACCATTTTAGCAGAAAGTGAAACCCCAGCCATAGACTCGCTAGGTTAATCTATAAAACTTGTATTATTGACAGTGTGTTACTGATATGGCTGGCATAAAAACTTTCTGGAGAAAACTAATCTTTATCTTCTAGAGCTTTGCAAAATCATCTGTTCAAGGATTTGCAAATGTTTTATAAAGGACCAAAAAACTGAGGTTTATTTTTAGGTAATATTTTTCCAGGAAATTTACAGTTCATTTCTTACATTTTTATTTCAGTGGTACAGTTTTTCCCAGCAGACTGCAGGATCTCTTTAACACATGAGGGCAAAGTTGCACCAGGTACAGATCTGACTTGGTGCAGCAATTACAAAAAAACAAAGCACTCTGGTCTCTGGTCACTACGTGGAAGCAGCTGAAACGTCAGGGATATTTTTTGCATAATTAAGGGTCGGTTACACTGCCTGGCTGGTTTTCTATCAATCAGCATCACAGAGTAAAGATCAAACCCGATCAAAGGCTCTGTTCTGTGGCAAGAGTTTCAAATCCCAAGTGTAGGATTTTTTTTTAAATAACCATGTCCACTAGAGGGATCCCAAGGAACATCTGACACCACTAGTTGGGGTGGCCTTTGGCAGCGCAAGCAGGGAGTCGGCTCCCTGTGATTTATTATTAATGTTCCAATGGAACTTGGGAGTTCGGAGATCAAATGAAACTCAGTTAACAAGGACTATGCTTATGGTCATAGTCTGGAAGGGATGAGACAGGAGACAGCATATACAGTTGGAGAATCGTACATATGGGATGAACAAAAGAAGGGAAAAGCAGACTCAGGGTAACAAGAGTGATCCATGGAAGCGCTTAAAGACAAGGGAAAGATCTGCATTTGGAGCAGAAATACTCCCAAAAAGCAATTTAGTTGTTTTTTTTTAAAGACAGGGAGGAGTAAAAATGGGCAGAAATTGAACATGGGGTAGCAGGAGGAAGAATGAAGCTAGCCACAGAAGTGGAAACGGAGAAGATAGCTAGGGTCCAGAGCCTGAAAGGATAAAAGTCAACACACAGAAAACACACAGACAATGGAAAGGGCCATGAATCACAGCGCAAACAGGAGGGTGCTGGGAGATGTACGTCTGTACCCAGAGAAGGCCTGTATGTGTGTTGGGGAGAAGCCTTGCTGTGGTACATTGAACAGCCTGTTGCAGGTGCAAACCGCAAAAGTAGAAGCACGTGCTCTCCTTCCACACGACACAAGAGCTGAAAGGATCCAATTGGGAAAAGTTAATAATTCAGGGATCATCCTTCATGCTGAGCCACATGACACTGAGGGTTTTCCAGAGGAACGTATTAAGAAAGACTAGGCCAGACCAGGAAAGGTGTTCAAAGAACTGGAGGCTCAGTTGATCTTCAGCAGAAAGTCTTCTTGTCCCTATAAATGAAGCAAAGGCAGGAGAAGATAAGGAAAATTACCTAGTGACCTGAGACATTATGAGCTGCTATACAGAAGGGTTTTGAAATGTTTGGCCATCAAGCTGAATTATTGAAAAATTATTATTTTCATAGGATTTCAAAGGATGAAAAACAGTTTCTGCTGAAAATTATAGCTGCCTTCTTTGAAGTAGGCCAGCCTCACACCTGGCTAGGCAAATACAGTTTTGCTGGTTTATACTTGATATTATTTAATATGCTCTACCCTTGATACAGTCCTATATAATGTAAATATATATTTAAAAAAATAATAAAAACTCCCGAAAAACCCTAACACAAAATAGTATCACAATAGGTCAGTGATAAGTTTAATTTGTAAACCAGATTCACATTTATTCATTTCTGTAGTCTGTGAAAAAGCAGGTAGAGTGGAAAAGCAGGTTGATCGTTGATTTTTTCAATTAATTATTTCTGTCAGAATGAAACAAGCTCTAATACTGCAAATCAAGCACCAAGGATAGCAGTTTATGGAACTGATTATATCTTTTAAATCCATGACTTGCTTTATCTTTTCATTTTGACGTTGAGTTACTGTTTTGTTCTTCTAAATACATTTTTCAAAGAAAGATCAATTGCTCATGATCTTTGGAAGTAGTGCAGTTACAAGCAATAATGCTGATAGGCGTGGACTGAGTAGGATGCATATAATTATATAGTGTCTATGCAACGAAGCATGTTCCCAAACAAAATTATGATAGCATTTATTACGTAAGGATACATACCTATTGCAACTATATAGTTATATGAGAACATGTAGAGCGGACTTCAGAAATTCTGTATGGTTCCTGCCTGCACATGTTTGGAATCTTCACCATAATGGCGAAGGATCATCCAGTTTGCAAGAGCACAAAGGAGTCTGTAACTAAGTTAAGAGTCAAATGCAGTATGTTTGATATTTTTTCTTCCTTTATTTGGTGAGATGTGGTGTTTGACCTCATCCCACAGCTCATTGCCTTTGACCAGGACATTTCACTCTTTCTTCCCTTACTCTCTGCTCGCTTGGTCTTGTCTTCCTGATGTTCTCTATAAGTGAACTGATTTTTTCTTTTTAACGTGGTGAGTTGTCTGTTAGATCAACGACTTGGCATCATTCTAAGGGGCAAAAAAGGAGTGCAAGAACAGGCAATACATGCAAGGAAGGGGAATTTTGGTGAAGGCAAAAAGGAGAAGTGGAGGGAAAGCAGGACTGAGATGCACCATTTTGGTAGCAGAGGACTTATCTGCTAGGCAGTCCTTAAGTCTTAAAGTATTTTGAAAAAGTGATAGTCACTGTGAGATCAGTGAACTTGCACAAACTGGTTTGAGAGCTTGATCCAACAAGCTCTGCAGTTCTTAGAATTATGTCCAATGAGTTTGACACAAAGCCTGCAGGAAAACTGAATCATGAATCTATGTATGTGAAGTTCTTTAAGGCAATCAGATTCCTGTATATACACGGAGTCCTTATTAACCCATTCTGTGTCTGAGGCATGGATACATTTTTATGAAAGGAAAAAAATGCCAAATTTCTGTAGAGACAGAAGAAGGAAGTGGCTTTTTTTAAGGAAGCTTTTAAAAATTTCTTGAGTAGTTAAGATATTAAAATAAAGTGTTAGAGGAGAACTTCTACCTACCTCCTAAATGAAAGATGGCAATAGTTACTGATGTGATCCAGGAAGTGGTGCTTGCAAGTCCATCAAAATGTTGCTGGATTTCAACAAAGAACAGACCAAAAGTCTTGAGGACGGCAGCAGTGAGGCCCATCACCATGAACGCTGACACTACCACAACCCAACCATAGCCACCATCTGGTGGATTGCTATTGTTGGCATGCATCTTTTCTAATTCTCAGATCTTCTCTCAGATTTTTTCCTGGGGTGGTAGTGATGGTGGTGAGGACTTTTAGCAGATCTGCAAATTAGTAGAAGGTCCAGTGTTAAAGAAATTAATTAAAAGATTCTAGGAATGGCTTACACAAGTAATTACCAAGTGAAAATACAATATGCATTTCAGTGGTTTGACTGAAAATATTACCTGGGAAACAGATGCCCCAGGAGACAAAAGCCAGAGTAGAAAGTAAAACAAAGGAAGTAAAAAAAACGAAGAAAAGAAAAATATTCAGTAATATGGGTAGAAAAAAGAAGCATGCAGATGTGGCAATAGGAGAGAAGACGATGGGACAAGATATGGTGCAGACACTAAGACTTTCAAAGACAGGTCCAGGATCCTACTCATTCTAATAACTTCAAGAACCTTATCCCACCCACTTCTCAAGCCAGTACATTATGGTAAAGAATTTGAAAATTAAATGCCTGACAGGATACCATACTTTCTAATGTTCTCTGGTCATTGCAATAAACTTCACAAACTTCAAAGCCATCAAGGCACTTGTTTGTACCCATCTGCTTCTTGTCATAATTGTGTGTATGGATAAAGCATAATTTTATATATATATATATATATATATATGTAATGAAAAGATTCCTAACCTTAAAAGGGCAGGAAATCTGTCAGTTTCAATCTTCTGCATATCCACATAAATGGAAATAAATGGAAGCTACTTCAATTATCTGGAAGTTTGAACCTAGTGAACTTTCCATTCCTGGAATAGCAGACTCTCTCTCTCAAAGACAGATTTCACCTTCCATTTGGCAAATACCAAAATGACATTTAAAACCAAAAGTATTCAAGTTGAATGTATTGACTATGGGATCCTCTCAACTTGATAATGTCTATTTAATCATTGCATAAGATCCAGGAATAGCGTAAACCTCTTTTTTTCTTTTTGTGCTTGGTCTCTAAATCCCATGTGAGGTTGCAACTTTGACTAAAGAGTGGGAATGTATAAACTTAATAGTAACTCTTGCTGTTGTTGTAAGCAATACTCTAATTCAGAACCATGACAGTGGCAATAGGTCTTCTCCCTGTGTAAACAAGATGCATGTAATCTCGGAAATGGTATTCAGCATGTAACTGGGTGTTACTCTGGTCTCTGAGGAGTGTTTTAGGGATCCAGTGTTAGATATGGTACTGGACATCTGAACACTCACTGTGAAACTTTGGATTCTAAAACTTTACATGGAAATACTAGATGAATCTGTGCTGTACACACATTGAGGATTAACAAATGCTTAAAGATGGTTCCTGGCTCAGGAAGTCTCCAAGCTGCAAGTGGTCAGAAACTGGGAGATATCACTTTAGGTTTAGTCTATTCTTAATCCTAAACATCCCTTTCTTCAGTGTCCTCCAAGTTTGAGCATTTATAAACATTTATGGCTCCAGCACCACAAAGCATTTTGCCAAAATCAGGCACATAC